CATCCCATCCCATTCCCATCCCATCCCATCCCATCCCATCCCAATCAATCCCATCCCACGCCATCCTGATGACCCCAGCCCCATTCCCATCCCATTCCCATCCCACCCCATCCCATTCCCATCCCACCCCATCCTATCCCATCCCCATCCCACCCCATCCATCCCATCCCCACCCCATTCCCATCCCCATCCCCATCCATCCATCCCCTCCCGTCCCGCAGACTCTGCGGGGCTCACTCGCCGGCTCTGCCCTTCGTTCGTTCCTGTGGTTCATTTTCCCAGCCTTCCCCCCGAGTCTCTCCTTCCTAGTCATTCCCGGCTCGGCTTCCCGGGGCTCCTCGCTCCTCCCCAGCCCTTCCCGCAGGCTCTGTGGTGCTGTGGTCGCAGGGCTCCCCTTCTCCCCTGGCCGGCTCCCCTCCTGCCATTCCCGGTGCCCTCCCGTCCTCACCGAGCGCGCTGCCCTGTGTGCCCAGGGGACACCTCGGTGCTGGCCGGGCTGTACGGCCCCGCGGAGGCCAAGATCAGCAAGGAGCTGCCGGACCGGGCGGCGCTGGACGTGCTGCTGCGCCCCAAGGTGGGGCTGCCAGGTGGGACTGCCTCCCGCCTGCCCCGGAGCAGGCTCTTCCCCCAGAGTCGCCGTGTTGGGTTTATTTACAGCACTGTAAATCAGTTTTGCTGGGTGGCAAATCCACAAACCCCTGTGTTATTGCCACATTTTAGCAAGCAAAGGCACTGCTGCTCGTTTGCTCCCCAGCTGTGTGGTTAATTAATGCTCTCCCTGCTGCTGGGTGACGAGTCCCGGCTGCTGTCACTAATTAGTGCCGCGCTGGCTCTGGCTCTGCTCTGCCTCTGGGCCTGACCCCACTGCCAGCCCTGTTCCCGCTCTGAAAAACACCAATCACTCGGTTTTTAAAAATTTTAAAAGTTTAATAATAATAAAATGGTTATAAAAATAGTAATACAATTACAGTAATAAAATTCAGAGTTAGGACAATTGGAAGACAATAAAAAGCAAAGAATTACGGACGTCTGGATGCTCTCGGACACTAAGTTATGAAAAGTATACTTTGTGGACAAAGGAGTAACCTTAAAAACAGCAGCCTGTTGCATATTCATATATCCTTCTTGGTTATGCATACATTCTATTTAAAACAAGAACTCTTTCTGTTGTATGTCAGCTGTTTCCTTTAATCCCCATGGCATCTTCCAGTCTGAGCAAGACCTGAAGAAATTAGCTTCTTTTGATAAGCAAACAGTTAAAAAACCCCTTTACCTAGCAGTTTCTATTTTAATACTATGCTGGAACCTGAAACTATATTTAACACAGTACTTAAGAGCATTAATACAGCATAACTTTCTACCATGACACATACAATATCCACTGTAACGTTTGTAAAACCAATCATAAAAGGTGCATTTTTCACACGGCCGGAGCCCGCTCAGCACGGCCGGCACTGTCCGCAGGAGTTCCTCCTTCCCCAGGCTCGTCCCTGCAGCCCTGCCGTGTCCTGCAGGAGCTCCCCGTGCGGGGCTCTGCACTCCCCGGGCACCCAGCAGCCCGCTGGGCTCTGGGCCTGGGTTTCCTTTCTGAGGTTCCCGGGGCAGGGGCTGTGGCTGAGCTGACACCCTCTGCCCGCGGCGCAGGTGTGCTGGAGCGCAGCCGGGAGCAGCTGCTGCAGCAGACGTGCGAGGCCGTGGTGCTGGGTGTGCTGCACCCGCGCACCGCCATCTCCCTGGTGCTGCAGGTGCTCAGCGACGCCGGCTCGGTATCCTTTGCTGCGTGGGAGGCGCCGGGGGGCCGGGGGAGCGGGGCTCTTGGTGCTGTGGCTCCTTGACACGCGCAGCTGCTCTCCTGCTGCCTGAACGCCGCCTGCATGGCGCTGCTGGATGCGGGCCTGCCCCTCTCTGCTCTCTTCTGCGGCGTCACCTGCGCTCTGCAGCCCGACGGCGCCATCCTGCTGGACCCCACAGCCCGGCAGGAGCAGGTGAGCCCGGGGGGAGCCCTGCTCCAGGGTGCCCACCCAGCCCCGCTGACCCCTGTCCCCGCAGGAGGCACGCGCCATCCTCACCTTCGCCATCGCCAGCACCGACAGGAAGGTGCTGATGGTCACCACCAAGGGCAGCTGCTCCGTGCAGGAGGTGAGGGACTCCCCGCGCGGGTTTCGGGGTGCAGGATCCCTCACAGGGGGCCCCTCACTCCCGGCCCTTCGCCCCTGCAGATGCAGCAGTGCCTGGCCGTGGCCCAGCGCGCCGCCGACACCATCTTCCAGTTCTACCGCGACTCTGTGCGCCGCCGCTACTCCAAGTCCTGAGCCGGGGACGGCCCGCGGGCAGCTGGACTGGCCTGGGCCCCCGGCCCTCAGTAAAGGACTGTTCTCCCTCCGCTCTGCCTCCTGAGTCCGTCTGTGCCCACAGCGTCTCCTGAGAGCGGCACGCACGGGGACCGGGCTGGGGATACGTGTCCCAGCACCTGGGGGATCCTGAGACCCCAGGGTGGGGACACACGGACACGGCGTCGGCACAGGCCTGGCGGGACACACAGCATGGCTGTGGGAGTGTCACACCTGTGGTCACACCTGTGCCGGCACACCCAGCATGGCACCCGTGGGAGTGTCACACCTGTGCTGGCACACCCAGCATGGCACCCATGGGAGTGTCACACCTGTGCTGGCACACCCAGCATGGCGGCTGTGGGAGTGTCACACCTGTGCTGGCACACCCAGCATGGCGGCTGTGGGAGTGTCACACCTGTGCTGGCACACCCAGCATGGCACCCATGGGAGTGTCACACCTGTGCTGGCACACCCAGCATGGCACCCGTGGGAGTTGAATTGGGGGAAGATGTGGAGTCAAAGAGGAGGATCGGTGTGGGATGTAGGGATAGGGGGGCAATAGTAGGGGGCAGTGGGTCCCCGTGTGTGCCCCTTTGGGTCCCTGTGTGGGTGTCCGTGGGTCCCTGAGGGTCCCCGTGGGTCCCCCGGGCGTCCGTGAGGGGCGGTCCCGTCACGTGCCGCCTCACGTGCCCGCCCCGCCTGCCCGCGCGCGTGCGCCCCCACGTGCCCGCCCCACGTGCCCGCCCCACGTGACGCGGCGCGGACATGGCGGCGGCGGCGGCGGCGCTGCGGGGCCGGCGCTTCAAGTGGTCGCTGGATCTGGGGGCGGCTCCGGGGGCTCGGTGAGGGCTCGGGGGGCTCGGGGGGGCTCGGTGAGGGCCGGGACACCGAGCGCCCCGCTGAGCCGCCCCGCTGTCCGCAGGCCCCGCGGAGCCGCCGAGGGCCGCGGCCCGCTCGGGTTCGCGGAGCGGCAGCTGGGGGAGGGCGGCGTGCACGAGAGCGACAAGATCCTCATGGAGAAGGTGCGGGGCAGCGGCTCCGGGTGCGCCGGGTGCCCGCACGGCCCGGGCCGCGTGCGGGAGCGGGCCGTGCCCGCCGCGGGGCTCGCTGGCCCGGGGCAGCGCTGGCCCGGCTCCCCGCAGATCCCGGTCCCCACAGATCCCGGTCCCCGTGTGCTCCCTGTCCCAGCTCCGCGCCCGCACAGCCGCCGGTCCCTGCCTCAGGCCACCCCTGGGTCCCCATACCCCCACTCCCCGTGGGGGTGCTGCTGCCCCGCGTCCCTGCCCTGCCCCGGCCCTGCGGGTCCCCCCAGCCCCGGGCACGCCTGACGGGTGGTCCCTGCCCTGGGACCCCCAGTGCCGGGTCCACATACCCACCTTGGGAGCCCTCCACTGCCGGGTTCCCATACCTGCCCTGGGACCCCTGAATGTCGGGTCCCCATACTCACCCCGGGACCCCCAAATGCTGAGTTCCCATGCCCACCCCAGGATCCCCAAATGCTGAGTCCCTATACCTGCCCTGGATCCCCATGCTTGTCCAGTGGTCCCCCAAATGCCAGGTCCCATGCCCCCCCTGGGTCCCCGTGCCCCCCTGGGTCCCCACGCCCGCCGTGTCCCTGTCGTTGCAGCGCTGCTGGGACGTGGCTCTGGCGCCGCTGAAGCAGATCCCCATGAACCTGTTCATCATGTACATGGCCGGCAACACCATCTCCATCTTCCCGGCCATGATGGTCTGCATGATGGGCTGGCGCCCGCTGCAGGCCCTCATGTCCCTGTCTGCCAGTGAGTGCAGCCCCGTTTGGGGACAGCCCCACAGCCCCCTGGGTGTCCCCACAGCCCCTGGGTGTCCCCACATCCTCTTGGGTTTCCTGCAATTCTCTGGGTGTCCCCACACTCTCCTGGGTGTCCCACAGCCCCCTGGGTGTCCCCACATCCTCTGGGGTTTCCTGCAATTCCCTGGGTGTCCCCACAACCCCCTGGGTGTCTCACAGCCCCTGGGTGTCCCTAGCCCCATGGATGGCCAGATGTGTCCCACAGTCACCTCCACAGCCCTCGCCCTGCCCAGCAGTCCCCCCATGGTGCTGCCCACTGCTGTGACCCCTGTGGCAGCTCGGTGGCCTGGGGGTCACTGACAGGCACCCGGTGGCCTCTGTCCCCCCCAGCTCTGAAGGCCCTGGAGAGCTCCAGCCGGCGGGCCCTGCAGGGCCTCGTGTTCCTGGTGGGCAATGGGCTGGGGCTGGCACTAGCCCTCTACAAGTGCCAGGCCATGGGGCTGCTGCCCACCCGCCCCTCCGACTGGCTGGCCTTCGTCACCCCCCCGCAGGTGAGCCCGGGGTGCTGGGGTCACCCTGCAGGGTCAGGGGTCACCTGGCAGGGTCAGGGGTCATGGGGTCACCCTGCATTGCCTGGGGTCACCCAGCAAAGTTGGGGGTCCTGGGGTCACCCTGCAGGATCAGGGGTCACCCAGCAGGGTCAGGAGTCATGCAGTCACCCTGCATTGCCTGGGGTCACCCCACAGGGTCAGGGGTCGAGGGGTCACCCTGCATTGCCTGGGGTCACCCAGCAAATTTGGGGGTCCTGGGGTCACCCTGCAGAGTCAGGGGTCATGCGGTCACCCTGCATTGCCTGGGGTCACCCTGCAGGGTCAGGGGTCCTGGGGTCACCCCACAGAGTCAGGGGTCACCCGGCAGGGTCAGGGGTTGTGGGTTAGATACCCAGGGCCCCCACTCACCCCTTCCTCTCTCCCCTCTCTTGGCAGCGCATGGAGTTCACTGGGGGGGGCCTGATCTTGTGACCCCCTGCGCCCCCCACCAATAAAGGCCATGGCAGGATGGTGACACCGTTTCTGGGGGAATTCTGAGGGTTTGGGGACTGGCAGCACTGGGTTGGGCTGAGCTAAAAGATGTTTATTGGGCTGGACTGGGAGCACTGGGAGCACACTGAAATCTGTACTGGGAGTGCTGGGAGTGCCCTGGCAACCTCAGGACCTGCACTGGGAGCACTGGGAGCTTTGGGGCCTGTGCTGGGGTCTGCACTGGAGCTACTCTCAGAGCCACAGGACCCATACTGGGAACACTGGGAATTCACTTCTGGCCGGCATGAGGAGAGCTGCAGCCTGAGGCTGGCTCCATACTGGAAGCACTGGCTTTGTACTGGGAACACTGGGGATCATATCAGGATCTTGATTTGACTGTAGATGATGCTGGTGTTGTACTGGGAGCACTGGGCCATACTGGGATCCTGCCTGAAGAGCTGTGGCTCGCTAGCATTGTACTGGGAGTGCTGGTGGTATGTTGGGAGCACTGGGCACATACTGGGACTGTGCCAGCAGACCTGTGGTGGAGGCCAGTGTTGTACTGGGAGCAGTGGGCCCACACTGGGATGGTGCTCGGCGTGCCTACCCTGCTGGTTTTTGCAGCATTTCACCATTTTACTTTGGTAATTTCCCAATTTTGACTGTTTTTCTCACCTCTTCTTGCCCATTTGTGCCCCTTTTTTGTCCTTTTCCCTTGTTCTTTCATACTTTTTTTTTCCACTTTTGCAGTAATTTCTCCCACTGTTGCTCCCAGTAGAGCCAAACCTCTCCTTTCCAGTATGGACCAGGGCTTCCCAGTATAGCCTTGTGCCCTCTGCAGGACTTTGAGTGTGATCCAGGACTCCAGGATGATGTTATCATGGCCCAGAGCCCGATTCCAGTATATCCCACCAGCTCCCAGTGCCTTTCCAGACCAGCCCAGTGTTCCCAGTGGCACCACAGATGCACTGGGGGCAGGGATGGGGCAGGGCCTCCTTCTGTGGAGTCAGTGGGGACATGAGGATGTCACCTGTGCCTCAGCTGGCTGGGCTGTGGCGTGTCCCAGGGTGTCACCGGGCACAGTGACCCCAGGCACAGCATCTCCCGATGGCCACACATCCCACAGATGGATCCAGGCTGGAAAACCCCTCCCAGCCCGTCCAGCCCAGCCTGTGCCTGCTCCCCACCTTGTCCCCAGCCCAGAGCTCCAAGTGCACCTCCGGAATTGCTGGGACACCTCCAGGGATGGGCACTCCAACCTTCCCTGGGCACCTCCAGGCTGAACTCCCTTTTCATAGGGAAATTCCTGCTGGTTCCACCCTGAGCTGCCCTGGGGCTGTTCCCTCTGCTCCTGTCCCTGTTCCTGGAGCAGAGCCCGAGGAGCAGCAGCCGCTCCTCATTCAGCTGGGCATGAGGGGCTGTGGGCTCTGAAATCCTGAGCATGCTGAGCACAGGAAGGGCTCCTGTTCCCAGCTGTGCTCACGTGTGGGCTCACAGCTTCTCCAGAGCACACAAACACACGGTGAACACATCCCTGACAGCTTCTCCTGGAGCACACGTGTGGTGATAACCTTGTCCCAGCACACACACACACACACAGTGACCCCTTCCCTGACATGTGTTCCCTCCCCAGCACACACATCCCCATGTCCCGGGGTGTCTGGGGGTCCCTGAGTGCTGGGGACCCCACAGCTGTGTGTGACCACAGGGTGACCTGAGGAGAAGGGCTGGCACAGCTGGCCTGGCTCGCTCATTTGTGGGGCTGGGAGTGGGTGCAGTGTACTTTCTTTTTCCCTTCTTGGTTAATGTTTATTGTACTTTTGGATGTGCACTTCCATAGCCTAACGATTCTGCTAAATGATCATTGTATTAACAGACCAGGTGCAATCAATTCTTCATCAGGCAGCATTGTCAGGAGCTGTGCAGAGCCACAGGGTCCCCCTGAGCCTCCTTTTTTCCAGGCTGAGCCCCTTCCCAGCTCCCTCAGCCCCTCCTGAGCTCCATTCCCTTCCCAGCTCCGTTCCCCTACTGGGGCTCCAGCCCCTTCCCCGCTCCCTCATCCCCTCCTGGGCTCCACTCCCTTCCCAGCTCCCTCATCCCCTCCTGGGCTCCATTCCCTTCCCAGCTCCTTTTCCTGGCCACGTTTCAGCCCCTCAGGCCCTGCCTGAGCTGAGGGGTTGGAGCTGGGCACAGCCCTGGAGATGGAGGCTCAGCAGTGCCAGCACAGGGCACAGCCACTGCCCCGTGCCTGGGGCAGCCCAGGGGCCCTGAGCCCCCCGGCCACCTGGAATTCTGTCCAGGAGCCGCTGCTCTGAGCTCTGCTGGCAGTGTTCCCTGTCCTTCCAGCCGTGTCTCCAGGGGCTGCTGCACACCAATGCCAGTGGGAGGGTCTCTTTCCTCTGTCTCTGCCCTGTCCCTGAGGTTTTGGCAAGGCCACGCTGCTCCCGCTGGAGCTCAGACAGCTCTGCTCACCCCAGCAGGGCAGTCACGGCGGGTGCGGCACCCCTGGGAACGACAGCCGGCCTGGGAAGGGACCCCGTTAGCAGAACCAGGGGCCTGTGAGGCAAGGAGACACAGATGTGGGTGACAAGTGGGAAGAGAGTTGCCTGGCTAGTGCTGGATAATCACAGAGCTTCCCCGCTGGCAGGTGTGCACAGAAGTGGGATGGCTGGATCATTTTGGGAACGCCACAGAAACAGCTGCTCTGAGGGGCACGAGTGCCTGGGGATCCCATGTGGATCTCACAGGGGTCTGGGCTTGTGCTGGGCCCGGGGCCAGCTGTGTGCTGTTTTACATCCTTCCCCCACGTCAGCGTGTAACACACCACGTCCACCACACCCAGAGCCTGAGCCCTGGCCCTGCTGTCGGGACTGTCCCCAGCACAGGACCTGGCGGGGACACCCCTGGGCCAGGGCAGAAGGAAAATGCCTTCTGAGACAGGAGGGGAAAAGCCTCTTCCTCCCTGCAGCCACCACGTCACCTGAGCTCAGGAACGCTCTGGATTTCATTTCCCAGGGGAATGCAGATGGGCGATTTCCCTGGATGCAGCAGGCACCCGAGGCCCCAGGCAGGGCGTCTCCAAGGGATGTGGCTCTGCTCCCAACAAAACACCCAGTTCCCAAACCTGAGCTGCACTTCCAGGACCCCTGCCCGGGGGATGAGCCCCCATCCCGGGGGCCAAGGACAGGTCCTGGCGGGTCCCGGGCCAGCAGAGCTGGCACAGCCGGCTGGGGGCAGCGCCCTGCCCTGCCCTGCCCGGTGGCTCCTGCCCTCCCAGCCGTGCCCACCGCGTGTCTGCACATCCCACCTGCCTGCCGCCCCTCCAGGAGGCTCGGAGAGCCACAGCAGCAGCCAGAGAGCAATCCCAGCCAGCCCCATCCCACCCATGACTGTCACAAATAAACAGCGAGCAGGCACAGCTGCTCTCCCGTTTATTTCCGTTGTTATATTTCCATTTATTTCCCGCTTATTTCACGCTGCAGGTGAGCTGGATGAAGGGCAGACCGGCGCACGCGGGCGGGCCGGCGAGCCGCAGCGTGTGCGGGATGGACTGGGCTCTGTTCACGCAGCACGGAATGCTCTGCCCCACGGCCGCGGGGGCCGTGCCGTGCCGTGCCGAGCCGTGCCGGGCGGCCAGCCCCGCGGGACAGCAGCTGCCACTCATCCCGCCGGGCCCGAGGGGTCATATACTGTCCAGCTTCTTCAAGATGAAGGGAGCTGCGGGAGGAAACAGCGCGGAGTCGAGCCCGGGCCGCGGCCGGACTGCTGCGGGTTGGGCAGCGCCCCGGACCGGCACGGCGCCGGGGCACGGCGGGGCCGGGGCATCCCCGGGGCCGGGACATCCCCGGGGCCGGGGCACGGCGGGGCCGGGACACGGCGGGGCCGGGGCATCCCCGGGGCCGGGGCATCCCCGGGGCCGGGACACGGCGGGGCCGGGGCATCCCCGGGGCCGGGGCACGGCGGGACCGGGACATCCCCGGGGCCGGGACATCCCCGGGGCCGGGGCANCCGGGACATCCCCGGGGCCGGGACATCCCCGGGGCCGGGGCAACCCCGGGGCCGGGGCACGGCGGGGCCGGGGCACGGCGGGACCGGGGCATCCCCGGGGCCGGGACACGGCGGGACCGGGACATCCCCGCGGCCGGGGCATCCCCGGGACCGGGACATCCCCGGGGCCGGGACACGGCGGGGCCGGGGCATCCCCGGGACCGGGGCATCCCCGGGGCCGGGACACGGCGGGACCGGGACATCCCCGGGGCCGGGACAACCCCGGGGCCGGGGCACGGCGGGGCCGGGGCACGGCGGGACCGGGGCATCCCCGGGGCCGGGACATCCCCGGGGCCGGGACATCCCCGTACCGGGCCCGGCACGGCCCGGGAGCCGGGTCACTCACTGATCCGCAGCAGGGCCACGTAGATGAGGAAGTTGCGCACGGAGGCGAGCACGTCGCGGCGCATCTTGCGGCGGAGCTCCTCCGGGTCCATCTTGGGCCCCAGCCCCTCGATGCGGAACATCCTGGAGCGGAGCTGGGAGCGCGGAGCCCGGAGCGCGGAGCTGGGAACGCGGAACGCGGAGCCCGGAACGCGGAGCCCGGAACGCGGAGCCCGGAGCGCGGAGCGCGGAGCGCGGAACGCGGAGCCCGGAGCGCGGAGCCCGGAACGCGGAGCGCGGAGCGCGGAACGCGGAGCTGGGAACGCGGAGCCCGGAGCCCGGAGCGCGGAACGCGGAGCCCGGAACGCGGAGCCCGGAGCCCGGAGCCCGGAGCGCGGAGCGCGGAGCGCGGAGCCCGGAACGCGGAGCCCGGAGCGCGGAGCCCGGAGCGCGGAACGCGGAACGCGGAGCGCGGAGCCCGGAACGCGGAGCCCGGAGGGCGGAGCGCGGAGCTGGGAACGCGGAGCGCGGAGCCCGGAGCGCGGAGCCCGGAGCGCGGAGCGCG